AAAGCTGTCTGCTGAATAAATGAACATATGTGCACACAGGTGGACAGACAGGTTGTATATATCCTTACTTTTTGCATTTTATCTTTGGTGAAAACTGTCACTGGCTGGCACTAGTCACCTCAAGGTATTTGGGTTCTAAACACTGGTTCTAAACACAAAGCGCCTCATACACACACACACACACACAGGTTGGATTAAGTCACAAAATGAATACAAGTTGTCTAGAATTTTCTGAGACCTTTATATGAATAAATGCTTGTAACAAAATATTCCAAATCAGAACATTACCTAGTTTTTGCGGGCTTCTCTAAATTGACTGTATGTTTCGTAAACAAACCATGAAGGGGAGTTGGGGGTTAAACTACCTGTTTGCTTCTAGATGGCACCAGAGCGCCCTCTTGTGGTGAAATATAGTACCTGTGTAGTCACAATTTCTTTAAAACAAAAAACAAAAAAAAGTGACTTTCTGCTTCTCACATTAAAAACTGGACTGACCTGTACCTACTCTGAGAATCAACCCAACTATGTACCAAGATAGTTAAGATCTGGCAAGTTGTGGTGGTGATAAAAGGTAATTTAAGAATGATTTGTCACAGAACCATCCAAAGAGGTCATCCACATACCTAGGAAACAGCAAAATACATCAAAGCTGCTCTCTGGATTTGATATTCTGGATAGTTTCTGTTCACCCTCTGGTTAAAAAAAAATATTTTGAAGTTCAAATATATACAGTTTTTCCTTTTTCAGTCTGAAATCAACAATTATCTTTGCTGCACCCAACTGTTTTCACTTTTTTCTTAATATCCTCTTGTTTCCTCATACAAACCACTCTCTGAAAATCTGTTTTGGTTGTTCTTTTACACTCTTATAAGCAGTGATAAATCATTCCCAAAGTGGGTTTTCATATAAAGGATAGAAATGTGATTCTGGTCACTTTAGGTTATTTTTGCAATTTCAATTTGATATTCTATGGCCTTGCCAGGGTAGAAGACACCTGCATTCATCAGTTTCTGTGGAGGCAGAACTTTCTGGTTCTGCTGATTAATAATAATGTAGAATGCTTCTTTAGGTGGCAGAGTAGCAAAGCTGATTTATCCTTAATGATCCTATGGAGTATTGTCTGTGAGAAAGAGAGAAGAATCACTATTTGAACGAGACCCCAACATGCTCCCAAATCCTAAATCAACAACCCTATCTGGGGGTTCAGAGGAAAGGTCTTCCAAAGGTGGTCTCACTTAGCTGGCTGATCACCAGCATCCGAGTCTCTTGGGTGTTTGTTAAAAATGTAGATTATTCGGGGCGCCTGGGTGGCTCAGTCGGTTAAGCGGCCGACTTCGGCTCAGGTCATGATCTCACGGTCCGTGAGCTCGAGCCCCATGTCGGGCTCTGTGCTGCCAGCTCAGAGCCTGGAGCCAGTTTCAGATTCTGTGTCTCCCTCTCTCTGACCCTCCCCCGTTCATGCTCTGTCTCTCTCTGTCTCAAAAATAAATAAACATTAAAGTAAATAAATAAAAATTAAAAATATTTTAAAAAATGTAGATTATTCTTCGGACCTATGCAAGACTTACCACATCTCTGTGGAGTATGGCAACGAATCTGCATTCTTATTAAATTCCCCAAGTAACAACCATTGCGGAGCTAATCAATTTCACTATTAGGCAAACTGTCAGGAAATCTGTTTGTGTTTGCTCACTACTGCTTCATTTTAAACTTTCTTCTTCTTGCATTATTTTGACCATTCTTGGTGCGAAGTACGTTGTCGTTTCTCACCAGTTTCACTTTCTTCTCTAGCTAACCATCCCACGAGCTATCCCCTACTGCCGATCAGTTCCATGGCGTTACCTTGTTCCCTTTTTCTCCAAGTCACGGGGCCCGGATGAAAATCTGTTCTAAGGGTGAATCTGCTGGTAAATAAAATAGTTCTCGTGGGTTATATTTTCTAAAAAGGCCAGAATTACATTCATATTAATCTAAAGCTATCTAGGCTAGAAAAATAAAGACCCTAAACAAGTTTACTTTACTGAAACGATTAAACTTCAATTTACAGACAACTAAGTTACCACAGTTTTCAATGTACTTAATATTGTTACAGATCTTCTAGTAGAAACCATCTTTTACTGATGCTAATAGATAAAAACAACCATTTTTTTTTTCTACAGAGCAAGGCTTTCATTATAGGCTATTCTATAATATGTGTATGTATGGTTTTTAACCTAGTGCATTTGTTATTTCTTTAAAAAAAGGGGGGGGGAGGGTGCCTAAAGAGAATAAAGGAGAATAACCTCCTATCTAGATCAATTTCTTGTTATCTTATTTCCAACATCTGGGACTATTTAATTTTGAAGTGAGAACAAAGGAAAGTTTACATTTGCTGAGTATTTGTGATGCACAAAGTATTACTTGAAAGGTATTACTTGGTATGTCCTTATTTAAAAAGCTGCATGGGAGTCTGTTCCATCCAGACCACATGGTGTCTGCCTAAGAACAACTTCAGCAGGTAGGAAAACCTTCCAGGTCGAATTACCTGAGCTGCTGAAATTAGCATACAACAGCTAGACACATCATGACCCGTCACAAATGAAAACGTCTGGGCTCCCAAGTTCCTGCCAAAGACCAGCGCAGTTTACTATCTCATGAACTACACTTAATTGCCTTTTCTATATCGTGACCTTTTGGGGTGAAGGTGAAGGAATATGTCTGGCTCACTCCTACAGGACCCAGTAGAGGGCAGGAGGCATGATATGGACAAAAGAGCCCAGCAGTCAGAAGTCTTCAAGACTTCTTCAAGAGCTCAAGTTCTGACTCCAACTCAAAATCTGAGATCTGAGAAACCACTACAATGCTTTGCCCCTAAGCCTCCACAAGTAGAATGGGGACCACCAGTCCTTCCAGCACAAACAACACAGGGAAGGGGTGAGGCAACAAGCGTTGAGAGCACCGGCGGAATGGTCTCTGACAGACACCCAACAAATGTCTAATGAATATCAAAGTTATCTGAGCTCTGTCTCAGAGAACCAGCAGCCTCTGAAGCAAACAAGGCAAAACAGTAGGAAGAGTCCCTTCCCAGGAACGGTGGCTGCCATCACGGGTGTAAAAACTTCAATGCAGACTGAAGCTCAGAGACCCACACTGCTTTAACATTATGCTACGTACACAAACTCTACTCACCCCACCACACACACACACACACACACTCGCGCGCGCGCGCACACACTTCCTTCCTTCCATCTTCAGACTCCACAATGTCACAAATCTCGAAATTCTCAGATTAAACACGGGTGAAAAGAAGCTACAGGCACTCATCTAGGATGGTGAGTACGTGCATCTAATAAGCTCTCTCCCCAGCCACCATTCAAAGCACTCCGTGTGCAGGGGGGAATCTATTTCAGTCAGCACAGCAGCCCTATGAGGTGGGCACTCAGGTTGTCCCCAGTCTATGAAGGAGGGACCGGGGTGTGGAGATACAGGGCTCATCAGTAGCAGAGGTGGGCCTGGGCTCCACAGCTACACTCTCAGCAACTCTGCCTCCCTGACAGAAATTACAGTGAAAGTTCCCAAATTCCAAATGTACGCTGGGATTTTAAACTTGAAATAATCCCTACCTACATGGGTCAAAACATGGTACAGTCCAAGTAAAACCTTAAAGTCATCACGCAGGCCTACCAATCTTTTACTGTAATTGTCAAAACACATCCCCGACCCCAGATTATGCCCATTGTACAGATACTAAGACTCAAAACGACGCTTGCAACAGAAGGCAGAGAACCAGAATTTTCTGATATCAAAACCAAAAATTTTCAGCTGCCTCTTATCCAAAGGAAAATTGAAAATAAAATCTGCATTCTGAACGTGTCTTAAATTTAGAATTCTGACAGATAACTTGGCAGTTCCTGTAGAAACTTTAAATGTACATACCTGTGACCTGTGAACCCCAGTCCCAAGGTCTTGCATATGGAAATACTAATACAGGTAAACAAAGATATTAGAAGGATGTTTACTGCAGCAGTGTTTGTTAAGAGCAAAAGCAAAAAATAACCTGTATAGTCATCCAGTCAGCTATATTATGGCACAAATACATGATGGAAAACCATGCAGCCAGTTAAAAGAAACTGGCCCTAGACAGCATCTAGACAGATGGACCTGTAGCTATTCTGGATATTACTAGTAAGCAAAAAGGCAAGTGACAGAATATATGTGGTCTGATCCTACTTTTATTTAAAAATAAACTGTTGGCGTGCGTGTGATATACACATTGTGGAAATCTAGTAAAGGCCTGGAAGAATACACAAAAACTTCCTTAAGAAGAAATGTGAGAGGCAGGAAGGGTCATCTCTCATTGTTTACTTTACAAAGTCTGAATTTGAAGTTAATTTCTCTTGAAATAACAATACAAATTTTTGAAGTAGAAAGTATTTGGAAGGTTAATTTCTAGAAGGAATAGAATAGGTTAGAAATGCCCTTACAACAGAAACTTCTCTCTCCCATGTGCAAGCCTGGGAGTGCACAGGAAGGCTCGCACTGCCACAAAACCCACTTCTAAAAGTTCCTTCAGGATGTGAAACTAAGTCACACCATTTCAGAGATTTTTAAAACGAACACTGCCTCTTTTCAGACCATGTCATCAATGACATATATGTCAAAATGAAGCCTTTTATCACAAATCTTAAGAAGGAAACCTGTAAAATAAGGACTTACACAACACAAATGACCGAAACCGCACAGTTTTGCTATACTTTATTCAAAGTTGGCCCTTCTCTTAATTTGAGCGAACTCAAAGTCTAGTGTCCAAATGTAAATATCCGTCATACGTTGAAAAATAATCTTTACATTTGTGCTGGGACCCAGATTTGGCACACTTAAATCATACCCGAGTCAGACACAAATGGTCGACACTCCATACATAACAAAACCCTGCAAGTGGGACAGCAAGTTAGCTACAATATCATTTATCAAACTCGCAAACTCAACTGTCACCTTCCAAAGTTACACACACCACAATGCACCTTTGCACAGGTCATTTTATTCTCTCCTGTGGGTGTCAACAGTGCTCACAGATTGTAATTTGAAACATTTAGAAAGCACATACCTGAATATTGTCACATTTCTTTACATCATCATTCAGTCACTATTAAACAGTTATGTCTACTAAATACAGTGAACAAAATGGTATAAACGTTTACCATTCCCTTGTAAACAAGGTTTTTGTGCACAACAGTAACAAATGGAATTAATGCATACCACAATGAGGAAAGACCTTGTCTTTAAATAAACTATTCTGTTTATAAATAAACTCTGATTTTTTTTTTTAGTACACATTTACAGACCTGATCAATAAAAAGAAATAAGACATCTATTCTCCTTGAACAAGAAAATACTGAGAAATGGACCACTACAGAAGAACTCACCTAGGAGAGGGGGGTCAGAAGCAAGCAAAGGACAATAGAGAGTTAAAAGTACTGTCATACTGTAACCTATTTCTGTTAGAATACACCAACACAAGGACAGGATTGTCTGGGAAGGAGCTCTTTTTTACTTGAATTCCAGCAAGTTGCAATCAATCTTGTAGTACACATAGGGGTAGTATTCCTGCTGACTCAGGTTTAAGCCTGGAATATCCATAGGAGCCTATGGAAAAAATCAGAATTATTCAATGAAATACTTACAGAAATCAAAAAAAGAAGAAACTAAGTATTACCATTCACCTTCCTATTGAACACCTACTGTGGGCTAAGTTTGTATGTTTACCCTAATTTAATCTGAGTTAGGCATTATTACTCCTATTTTGCCAATGAGGAAACACAGTAAGTAGTAAAGCCAGATTTAAGCACTGACTCCAAAGCCTGTAGGTGTTTAACCATAATCCTACCAATGGATAAAATTTTTAAAAATTTTTAAATCTCAGGTTTGGGATATTGGGTTTATGGGACACATGGCTTATAAAATGTTGAACAGAAGTAAACCAAGCATAATTTTAATGATATCACTATTTTAAATGTTTTAAAAATGTTTTCATTTATTTTTGAAGGAGACAGATACAGAGCATGAGCGGGGGAAGACCAGAGAGAGAGAGAGAGAGAGAGAGAGAGAGAGACAGAATGCGAAGCAGGCTCCAGGCTCTGAGCTGTCAGCACAGAGTCCTCCTTACGCGGGGCTCAAACTCACGAACTGTGAGATAATGACCTGAGCCAAAGTCAGTCGCTTAACTGACTGAGCCACCCAGGCATCCCTGATATCACTTACTATTTATGCATGTTTTAAGAATACACTGGTAGGAAATATGTATCAAATAGTTGGACATCATTTTTTATTGATAATGTAGGAAGTAATTTCCTTCATTTTCTTCTATCAAGAAAAACTGACTTTCCATGGGTTCTAACTAATGCAAATGTGAGTGACATACTACCATCCTTAAAACGAAAAGAAAATCAACAAGGTATTTGAAATAAAAAATATGAAATAAAAGCCCACTACAATTTTAAACGGCAATAACAAAAACACACGTATGTTGTTTATATCCTCTGTTTAAAAGAAGATATAAAGACACCCGTTTAGAAAACTGACAGTTCCCTTTAAAATGCTCCTCTATTGACTTCGCTACTTCTACCAAATACAGTTAAAATAACTACTTATTTTCTTCTTCTCTGCCATTTATTAACTTTTGTAAACAAGTGTATCGCTGGTTGCTTCTTTATTTCTACAGCTATGAACATCTGATCTATAGCAAGATAATGACTGCCTTAGAAGCAAAGCACTGCTCTAACTAGTATAAAACGGTAAACAATGTAAATTACTTGCTATGTTTAGCTAACAAATTAATGGAGAATCTCAAAGCAATTAAAAAAGATAGATTAAATAATAGGATATTTACTATCCCTTTTCTATCTCCTTCCAATAATTTTTTCTGAAATTAATTCCAGTTCCTACTCTAATAAAATACCGAGTAAGTACTTACATCAATAATAGCTGCTGCACTGCTGTCTAGATGTTTATACAATTCATATAATACTTCTCTTAGTTTCTTCATTGTTTTCTTATTGGGCTGAAGGAGCATTGCTTGGAAGTTCACGGGCAAGCCATACCTTATCATGAAGCAAACGTGTAGTGTGTAACACAAGTAAACATATAAACAGACTTTTGTTTCAAAGCAAATATTCTCATACTCTTCTTTAATCACAGTTAATAGAGAGAGGGTACCTCGTTTTAATGATCACCTTTGCAAGTTCAGCTAATTATACAAAGAAACTCAAATCTTCTCTGGTCCTCACTGTCCACTAGAAATCTTTCCTTAAAATGAGAGCCAATTGTCTACTAGGAATTATTTTTAATTACTCTTCAGTTTCTAAGGTAATCTATGAATGCCCCCAGCAAATAGCAATAATATGTACACTTAGTAGACACCTTCATAATAATAAACATAATTACTCACATCTTGAAAAACCAATGAAATTTACAAAGAGTGAGCATGGCTACAGGCAAGTATCTTGAACTATTTCTAATATAAGCAAAATGTACAGAGGATCACAAGATTATTGAGATTTTTAAGTGTCTCAAAATAAAATATTTTAGGTTAATATGAAACAATGATTTCAAATAAGTCACCAATACACTGTGTACTAAACTACCTATAAAACATACAAAAGATCTTCTTTTAAGCAAACATTGGCTAAACAGTGTATAATTTACTTTTAGCTTAACTACACAAGAAAAGAATCAGGGAGTACAGCAGCATGGACCACTTTTTCTAATCCTGGTATTAAGGACAAGACTAACATGCACGTGTGATACTGCCGATCTCTCCCTCATAGCTGTCCCTTCGGTTTCTCGGCTGCAATTTCCCATCACTGGACTGTGTGTTATAACAAAGAGGCCAATGTAAAGGGATCTATGACCCCTTCAATTTCAAGTTTCTTAATTAACTTTCTTTACCTTAAGACAGACTCAACAAAAACTCTCAACGCTTTCACATGAATCCACGCAATAAACGCCTCACTGAAATTTACTTTCAGCCACCGTACAAGTGGTCCCTATAAAAAGGAAAAAAAATTACCACAAATTTAGTATAGAAATGGCAATTAAAATTGACAAATCAAATATTTTTATTTTATTTTTTTAAACATTTTTTAATGTTTATTCTTTGAGAGAGAGAGAGCACACGAGGAGACGGGCAGAGAGACAGAGACATAGAATCTGAAGAAGACTCCAGGCTCTGAGCTGTCAGCACAGAGCCCAACAAAGGGCTTGAACTCACGAACTAGGAGATCATGACCTGAGCTGAAGTCAGAAGCTTAACCGACTGAGTCACCCAGGCGCCCAACAAATCAAGTATTTTTAAAGGAGTGACTATCTAGTAAGAATCTACAAGAAAATCAAATCACATTATAATTCGTTTTTAAAAATGTTTCATTATTCTCATCATCTTGGATGCTTCATCTTCAATAAAATTAAAGGGTTAGTCACTACTCTATTACCTCAGTAGACAATTCACAGAACCTACTCACTACACAGGAAAAGACATACATTTTAATGAAAGTAATTTAAACTGATACAGAATACAGATGTGCCCTATGCTTGAAAACCAAAATACAAAAACCTGGATGTATTATGCAATACATTTCAGACATTTAAAATAGAACTCAATTTACAAACAACTTCTCAGCAACAAGGATAAAAAGTTATGCAATAAGTCTTTTTTTTTTTTAAATGTTTGTTTATTTTTGAGACGGTGTGCAGAGAGGGAGACAGAGGATCTGAAGTGGGCTCTGTGCTGACAACAGAGAGCCCAAGGCGGGGATGAATTCATGAACCGTGAGACCATGACCTGAGCTAAAGTCAGATGCTTAACCGAGTGAGCCACCAGGCACCCTGCAATAAATCATTTAATACCTATCCCTAGGTCTTAATTTTTTCTTTTGTAAAATCAGGGATGTTCATCTAGATCTCTTAAACCTCTGCACATTCCAAACTTTTAAAGATTCGATTACATTAAGTTCTTTTTGAACTTAAAGTATTCAGTATGATTTCCAGTATTAAATAAAAACACTTCTTCAAAGAAACAGCTTTCAAATAAGTCAATACTGCCTCTCAATACTTAAAAGACATACATGATCAGTTCAGCTAAGTTATTTAGACAACATCATTAGGCTCATTCAATGTACCAACCAATTAATTTAAGGAAAAAGGATCATAAGACAAAGTGAAAAATCTTTGGTTAAAATATCTGTTCTTTAAAAGGGTTTTGGTCCTTCCTAACAAGTTGGTTTTACTGGGCATTACTTGGTTAGGGTTAGTTTTATCCCAAATGAGATGATATGGTTTATAAAGTACCTAGGAATAATTTCAAATGGGATTTGCTTTTATTTCTTCTTGCATTTCAAGAGAAATCCATTTTCAGTCATTCTTCCCCTCCCAGACAAGCTTTTTGTCTTCACAATAATCCAGCACTTCAAAGATGGCAAGGAAGTTGACACCATCTTCCGTTTTCACAATTCTATTCCCCTTCCCCATTTTGCCCAGAACATACTAGAACTCTCCAGTGGTTTAAATACCAATTGCTTCAGTATAAGATTGCAGCATTAAAAAAATTTGCCTCAAGTCAAAATTCTTACTGAAAAAGAAAGAATACTATTTAATTAAAATAATCACTCACTACAGAGGCATTAACACTGTATTTAAAATTAATTCCTGATAGGGATTTAGATGGAATAATTAAAGGTATGGATTTCAAGATAACTATTCATAGATCGAAGTTTGTTTAGAGATAATAACCAGGGGCGCCTGGGTGGCTCAGTGGTTAGCATATGACTCTTGATTTTAACTCAGGTCATGCTCTCACAGTTCATGAGTTTGAGCCCTGCGTCGGGCAATGCACTGACAGCGTGGAGCCTGCTTGGGAGTCAGTCTCTCTCTCTCAATAAATAAATACACTTAAAAAAAAAAAAAAAAACCTATTAAAATAGAAAAAATAACTAAAACCAAGTGTCTGAAAAGTAAAATCAGAGTTTTCTTTTAAATAAAAAGAAGAAAGCAGTCCTCTTCTTTTGCTTAACACTGATAATACTGAATATTAACAACACATACAAACTGCTTTTTCTTGTCAGTAGAAAGCCTGTTCATTTCTTCTTTATCTGCTTTCATCTCTTCTTCATTATACTGGAAGTCACGAACGATGAATCTAAATTTTGGGGGTGGGGAGAAAACCAAAATTGTCCACTCTGTGTATATAGGTAATCAACAAATTAAAAATCAAAAAATAATAATCTTACTTGTTTTCCCTGGCTTTGTGTCTGAAGTCATCAACTGCCTTCCTAAACAAGGTGACATTGCAAAGGTAACTGTCTTGGTCCTCTGAGAGTACACTATGGGGGAAAAAAAGTCCATTTAAAGTTTGATATTTATTCCTCTCTTTCACACTGAGGGCAGACTTCACAAACAGGAGGAGGAGGAACAGTAAAGGGCAGCAGCCCTTCTTCCCAAACCACCTCAATGCTAACCATCTGTGTTTACGATTTTTTATTTACAATGCCTTCACAGCCCTATGTTACATTTACCTCTCTCTAACCCAACAAAATCCAACAATTAACTCAAATGAAGTGTCCAAACTCTAAGGACCATGCTTTTCCATCTGTAACAGTGCCAGGCCGGCTGAGGCAAAACCAGGAGCCAGTTTATTTCCAGAGTTTCCCTGCTTTCTTACAATAAGTACCTTCTTCTCTTCTGGAAAACAAATTCTCTCTCTCTCCAGCCCAACACAGCCCACTGAGGCCTGGCCCACCCTCTCTGCATTGCCAGTACCTGCTACCACAGATCTTTCCTTTGTCTCCCTCCACATCTTAACTCAAAAACTGACAAATGCAATGGTCTAAACAACTTCTGACGCATCTCAGATTTTTTTTATGCATCTCAGGGCTTCCTTCTAGGCTCTAGAAGATCCCAGCAGCGAGATCAGAACTTCCTCCAGTCACAGTTCCCATGGACATCACTGGAATGACTTTTCTAGACATGATGGGGAAATTTTAACTACCACATACATCTGAAATGCCTGGGGGAAAGACCCACTGATTGGAAAGGCAAACTTCACAGTTCATGTATACTGTGATCCTGATTTGGCTTTCAAAACTTACCTACAGCTACTTATGTACAGAATCCCATGTATGAGGTCTATGAAGCTATACACTGAATTGTTCCAACAGTGATGATGGTGGGGCAAGAGAATCACTTGGTGGTGGGTGGCGGGGCGGGGGGCGAGGGTCTCTTCTCCTTTCTATCTTTCCTGTATCGGGTTTTTTTTTTTGTTTGTTTGTTTAGTTTTTATTTACAACATGGTACTTCTAAAATCAGGAAAAAAATGTTTTATAAACCTGAGGGAGTGCTTGTGGAATTCAAAGATATTTTACTAAATAAGGGGGTGGGGAGGGGGGGAAAAGTTTAGCTTTTCCAGGAAGTCTAAGAACTGCCTGACTGGCAGTTAATTCAGGAGGCAACTACAATGCTTTAATGCAGAATGGCTAGAAGAACTGAAGCCACTGATTCTCAGTCTTGCTCTCCAGCAATAGGCCCAGCAGATGCCTCTGGGAGGAATGGCTACTGTCATCACTGACACAGACAGAAACTCAGCTACTGTGGATTTAGAACATTTAAACTTCCTTTTAAAAGGTGCCCTCTCTGGCTGGCTCAGTCGGCAGAGCGTGTGACTCCTGATCTTGGGGTTGTGAGATTCGGCCCCACATTGGATGCAGAGATTACTTTAAAATAAAATTTAAAAAAAAATTTTTTTTTTTTTTTAAATGAAAGGTGCCCTCTCAAAACGATTACCCTTAGTTCCTGCTCCCAGTGACTATCAAATCCAAAGCAAGGCAGCTACCAAGTGGACAGAACTTAATAAAAAACCTTTAATGATCTTCTGGTCTACCAGGCTTGACTCTAATATGCACACTGTGATCAAAAGAAATCCAAATCCAACCTGACAGGCTACTACAGACCCCTAACAATATCCCACCACTGTCACAGTGATCTTTTAAATTCATATGGTACTCTGCTGTTTTAAAGACCATTTCAAAAGCACCTGATGTCTGACATGCTCTGAGACCATGAGCAGGGTGTCTATTACGCAGGCTCCTCTGTCATGTAGAGACCTAGGTCACAGCGAAGTTGTTTGGTGTCTTTAAAATCCTTATGATGAAGGGAGCCAGGATAAAAATTCAGTCTTATTTTAGGACTAAATCCTGCTGTGCTACCTTATTAAGAAAAAAAATAAATAGAAACCATTTATTTGCTTTTCCTTCCTATCCCCAGGAAAGAGATTTCTTAAAATCTTATAAAAAAAAAAACAACCACGTGTCCTTGGTACAATGGACTTTCAATCATTTAACATGTACTCAGCCTCAAAAACAAAACAAAAACCACACACACCACCACCACCACAAAACCACGTACTGAGTCTCTCTATAAACGTGCACAGCTCTTGCTACGTATTAGGAATAAAACCAGGGGGTGCCTGTGTGGCTCAGTCAGTTAAGTGTCCAACTCTTGATTTCGGCGCAGGTCAGGATCTCATGGTTTCAAGCCCCGTATCAGCCTGTGCACTGACAGTGTGGAGCCTGCTTGGGATTCTCTCTCTTTCCCTCTCTCTCTGTCCCCTCCCTCACTTGTGCTTTCTCTCTCAAAACTAAACTTAAAAAAAAAAAAAAGGAACAAAACTAAGACAAAGTGGTTCTCTGACCTCAAGACACGGGTCTAATAAAGGAAACAGAAAGAAACAAGTAACACGATACAGAGTTGTCAGTGTATCAGAAGATAAGTGTGACATATTGGGGCAAAAAGGGAATTAATAACTTTATCTCAGGGGCACCTGGGTGGCTCGGTCAGTCAAGCGTCCCACTTCAGCTCAGCTGGGGATTGCACAGTTCATGAGTTCAAGCTCCATGTCGGGCTCTGTGCCGACAGCATGGAGCCCGGAGCCTGTTTCGGATTCTGTCTGCCCCTCTCTCTGCCCCTCCCCCACTCATTCTCTCCCTCTCCCTCTCCCACTCTCTCACATAAATAAACATTAAAAAAATAATTTCAAAAACCAACTTTACCTCAGAGAACATTAAAGAGTTTCACAAAAGCAGTGATGCCAAGTGGAAGTCTGAAAGACAGGCAAAGAAGAGAACATGCCAGCAGAAGCCCATATGCAAACGCATATAGGTGTGGAATAGCATGGTGCATTTGGGGAACTGCCAGAAAGAAGTGTAGCTGGAACACAGGATACGAAGGGGGTATGTGTGTGTGTACACACACGTGCCAGTAACAGACTGGTACACCACAAAAATGAAAATGGCAGCAATGCAGGAGACTGATGAGAAGAAGAAAATATTGGAGATAAGGAGCCCAGATAATGGCAGTTACAATAGGCCAGGCAAGAGATGGGAGTCTAAACTAAAGCAATATTAG